GCTATTAAAAAACAAGAAGACTGGCCAGATTTAGTCTGTGGGCTGTAGCGTGCAGGCCCCAAGTTTAGAGAGAAAATTTTGAAGATCAGAATTCTGTTCTTGGGCCAGCCCTGTGGCGCACTCAGGAGAGTGCGGGGCTGGGAGCGCAGCGAAGCTCCCGCCACGGGTTCGGATGCTATATAGGAATGGCCGGTGCGCTCACTGGCTGAGCGCGGTGCGGGCGACACCACACCAAGGGTTGTGATCCCCTTACCGGTCACAAAAAAGACAAAAAAAAAATGAATTCTGTTCTTTATTATAAAATTTTTCCCTCAGTTTATCTTACTATTTCACAGAATAGTGATTTAAATCAATTTTGCATTAGCAGAGGCTGAGTATATTAATTAGCTAATATAGCTAAATATACTTGATTTTTCTATTCCAAACATATTTAAAATAAATGATCATTATAGCTAATGGCTTAGATTTCTTACCTGTATTGCAATCTAACAACTTGTTGGTGTAGGTTTACCACATGTCCTCAACCAAATAAGAGCTGTAAGGTGGCAACTGTTCCAGAAGTACACATGGAAAAGGACATGGAAGAGAGAAAAAAATTTTACAGTATTAGTATAGCTTAGGTAGAAACCTAAATACTAAACTCTACAGCTATTACCACAGTGTTCTAAATGCTACCAAATCCTGATATCATGGACGCCCAACACCAACTTAAAAGGCCAGCATGTCCTTTGAATGGACTATGGTTTTCATATAGTATTTAATTCCACATTAAATTTGCAGTCCACAGTGACAAATTCTGCCAACTCTGACCTTAGGTGCCTAGTGTGGAGCTTCAGAGTTGCTGGAGGTATTTCTTTAGCCATTCTGTCACCATCACCTGTTAACAGTTAACCCAGTCATAGTTATATGTACATGAATAGATACTTATTTCTACGTTTCTTAGCATATCTAATTGAAAGTTGAAGTGAGCATGGAAGGAATTATAAGTGTTATGAATAAACAACTAAAGTAGAATTTTGAGCAAAATATCATACCAGGAAATAATAGCAATGGTCAAATCTAACTTGAAATATAAAACTTGGAGCATAATGGTAGGTGGTTCCTGAGACTGTTCTGTGCCACACCAGGTGACACTATTATAACCAAGAGATAGGCTAGGTGGAAATCAGGGAATAGACTGGTGACCAGTCTTAGAGCACACACCTGAATTACAGTAATGTATTCCATGTACATAGTATCTTTGAAAAAGACTAATAAGCCACATTTAGAAAGCAATATGCATATATAATAAACAGTAGCATGTTTGCAACTTGAAATTATTAGCATATATACCATATCCAAATTTTTCTCTTATTAGCAAGAAAATGTAATTTTTAGAATTTTCCTGTTCACCTCTTTAAGGATATTTATTGTTGAGATTAAAGATTTTTAAAAAGTTATTTTTTTCTCTAAACAAAAAATACTGCTGTGTTTTCATAGAGCTATGGAACTGATAACTAGTAGCTTTTCCATTGTTCATTCCAACATTTTTATCTGAATATGAACTAGTAGAATGTTCCTAATATTAACATTATTAATAAATTTACAGAGCAATAAGTAAATTTAATATATAGGAATTCACTTTTTTTTTTTTCCTTTTTGTCTTTTTTACTGACCGGTAACGGGATCACAACCCTCGGTGTCACGCCCATACCGGGGACCGGCAATGGGATCGCAACCCTTGGTGTTGCACCCGCACCGCGCTCAGCCAGTGAGTGGGAACCAGTCTCCGCATGGGATCCGAACCCTCGGCGGGAGCGCCGCCGCACTCCCAAGCAGTGCACTCTCCAGTGCACCACCGGGCCGGCCCGGAATTCACTTTTTGAAAACTTTTTTTTTATATATTTGGGTTAATTTTCATATATTCTGTTGCTTATGAACATCTTATGTTTTCATATGAAAAACTGAGAAAAATGTCTCTGGAAAAGAACTGGGTAAATAGGTTCTGGAAGCATGTGAGACTAGTAGTTTTAACAGTACAATTAGGATTTTGCATTTCTGGAATTGAATTTGCTATTGAAGAGCTATAGATATATGGTTAAAATTTTTGACTTTACCTCCAATATATAAGAATAAATTTAGATCTGTAATTACCATATAATTCCACAAGGTGGATCTCTTTTTTTTTTTTTTTGTCTTTTTTCGTGACCGGCAATGGCATCGCAACCCTCGGTGTTGCTCCCATACCTCGCTCAGCCAGTGAGCGGCCGGTCTGTATGTGGGATCCGAACCCTCGGCGGGAGCGCTGCCGCGCTTCCCAAGCGGCGCACTGTAGCAGTGCGCCACCGGGCCGGCCCCACAAGGTGGATCTCTTGATGTTAGAGTTTTTTTCCCATTTCAATTGTCCAAAAATTACTCAGGTGATATAATTTCAAGTCCCTGTAAATTTTTTAAATGTACTTTTTTTCAAAGACATATGATATACTATTCCCCATCATATCAGATTAAAACTTAATAGGTGTTTCTAGAAGAGACCTAATTTCCTCTCACAAAATTACAATAAAGTTTTAAAAATCTTTTAAACTCTTAAAAACAATTTCATGATTTAAATATTGTTATTTTAATAATTAATATTTTGTTAAAATAGGAGCAAATGATTTGTGAATTCAATGTATAAAAACCTCATTATTCAATACTGTTAGTAATGAAGATTTCAGATAATTCATATACTGTTTCTGTTACTGAATGAGAAGGCAGAAATAGTTTTTCCTAAGTCTTCTAATGCTCTTAAGAATATAAACTTTTTCTTTAAATTTATACAATATATGCATATTTATATAGTCATGTGTTGCTTAACGATAGGGATACGTTCTGAGAAATGCTTCATTAGGCAATTTCATCATTGTGGGAACATCATGGATTGTACTTACATAAGCCTAGATGGTATAATCTATTACACACCTAGGCTATATGGTATGGCCTTTATAATCATATGGGATCATTGTCATATATGCAGTTGATTGTTTGCTGAAACATTGTTATGCAGTGCATGACTGTACATACACATGTATATTGCCAGTACCATATGATTATGAAATGCTTTTTAGTCTTTTTCCTCCAACTAACTTAAGAGATATTTGACATGTGATGTTGTATACTTATTTAGTACAAGATTAAGTATACTGAGCAAGTGCAGAGTAAGTATACTTGATTCACAGCTCTAGTTTATCTCTTAACCCTTACAATACCCAATAAGAACGTGAAATATGGAAGTACAATTTAGAGTAATAGTTTGATTAATAAAAATACAATGGTAGGAGTTAGATACTGTTCCCAAAAATTTTGATTAAAATGAAGATGTCTGCTAGTTTTAGGATGTTAGAACCTTTGACTCTGAACCAACCCCAAATGTCCTTTGACTATCCTGCACTTTAATTTTTATTATCCATTAATTATGGGACTTTACTTGAGCAAAAAGCTAAACATGTGTCCCATCTATCAGGTCATCTCTAACCACAGGCTTCATCTAGTTCTTTTTTAAGTAAAACTGATCCTTTGTGTTTTGGGGGCCAGAGTGGTTTCTAGAACAGTAACAACTTTTCCTTTTTTTTTTTTTTTCCGTTAAATTTTTATTTTGTCAATATACAATGTATTAGATTATTATGGCCCATCACCGACACCTCCAACTTTTCCTTTTCTTTGTTTCATAGTAAGCAAACAGATATTTCTAAGTGAAGGAGATTGAAATATGTTATATATAATTTGGGCTTCAATTAATATTTTTCATTGAATAAAATATAAAATAGGGGGAGCTACTAATATGTAGCTTAAAATAGAGAAGAATTAAAAGTTTTTGGTGGTTGGCCACAAATAATGGCTTATGAATAAAACAGAATATATATAGAGAGAATATATATACATACATCTTAAATGCTTATAAGATTAAGTAACTGACTTACAGTTAGAAAGTATTTAGATCTCTCATTTCACAAAGAAGTTGAGGCTCAGAGAAGTCAAGTGGTTCTTAGAAGGTAACAAAGCAAATAAGAGGTAGAGCTGGAATTTTTCTAACATAATTTCTTATAGAAAACAATAATTCAACTAATAATATGTTTGCTAGTATCTAGGACTGACCAGGAGTCCCGTTGGATAAAATGCTACCACAAGGATTAAGCAGTTTCCATAGGCACCTGACCCACAAGAAGTCTTCAAGTAAAAAAGGAAAGATAGTGGAAAACAATGAGGTAGCGTGTGTGGTAAGCAGTTAGAGGAATCCCAATTGCTCAGGTACTAACTGGCTAACATTTATTGGATTCCTAGAATGCTGGATGCTGTGCCAGCACTTTAATCTCATTTAGACATTACAGCAGTGTAAGAAAGATATGATCATTCTATAGAGAAAATAAATAACTTGCTGAATAGTGCACAGTATCGATTTGAGCACGGGTTCTGTAAACTCCTAGTCATGCTGCAAGCCACTGTGCTTCCCTCCTGACTCACAGTGTCTGGGAGGGAGAAAGGGAAGGCTCGTCTCTCTAAAGACACTTATTTAAAAGCCAAGTAAAAATATTTTTCAGGACATGTTTGTTATTTAGATTGTTTCCTCCTTTGGACAAAGATTAATTTTCACCTTTGGGCTGGGGCAAAAATTTCCTTTCTTCATAATAATCTCCACTCATTCTAAACCTTTGTCTTTTATAGCAGGGTTTTTAATAATGTTTGCAAATGTGAACTTAAAAATACTCAAAGAGGGCATAATTTTCTTTTTGGTAGAATTTTTTTTTTAAAGTTATTGCCTATTTCTAGGTTATATGCATTTTTTAATACTCATTGATACATAAATTTAACTTGAAAAATATGATTTGATTTTCTAAGGCACAAACCATATATACTGACAGAATTTACAAAACACATAAGTTAGAATTCTCTTTCATGTTTGGATTCTAATGACTTGACTTATTTCACAAATCCCTGTTCTAAGATATCACTCATCCCAACCCCAAGAAAATGTAAAGCCTGAGTTAATTTCCTGCAATAAGTAGTCATTTAATTAAAGAAGAAAATTAACAGGAATCAAAATGTTGCAGCTGTATTTTTTGTTAGACATTATATAAAAAAGAAAAAGTATAATACAGTAAATCATTTTGTATAACATGAACGTAAAGAGTTTTCAAATTAATCATGGTCAGAATAAAAATGTCTTTTCAACATAATACTGAATGACACTGCGTCATATGTCCCTCATGTCAGAGGCCTGGGAGTGGTGAGCCTGCACATGCACATTGCCCATCCTCTGTTACACTGCAGAACTGTAAAACAAGTTTGAAAGGCAAACAACAGGTTTCTTCTGGTAGAGTTACTTTGGGTCTTAACTGACCCCAACAGTTCACACTCCTCTGACACCAAAGACGGAAGTGTGTCCTCTGGTTACTCCTCTTGCAGGTAAGTGAGGCCAAGATTGCACCTGTGTGTGTGATCCTACTCTCTTCACAAACACAGCAGGTAGTCTTGAGCTGAATTTCAGGAAAGTTCCCTGATGAATGTTCAGTGTTGGTATCAAAAATTAAACACAAATTCTTCTCAGAAGAAAATCTCTATGGCCTGTGGAATCTAGAAATTATGAAAAAGTCAGAGAATTTAAGGTTATACATTTCTAACAGTTAAAATTGCCAAAAACCTTCCACAAATAAATTTGCTGCTATGAAAAGCTTCTCAGAAGTCCAATATGTAAAACATGAGGATCAAGCTGCTCTGGTTAAAGTAGTGCAGAGCCTCAGAGGGCTCCCAACTCCCAGGTCCTTCTTGTACCCGAACATGTATTATATGCTGAATTCTGAGGGCTACCTAGAACTTAGTTTGAAAGATGCTAGTTAAACCCTTGAAGTACATAGAAAGGGCTTTGCTAAAACAGTAGAAGTAATGAATTGATTTATAAATTATTGGAAATTATAAAAGAGTTATAAGGGTTTTTTGTAGCATTAGTGATGTTTAATACACTCAAGAAAACCTCATTTGACTAAAAATATTGTTCTGACTCTTTAAAATTGATATGAAGTACTGAAATGTGGTGTAAAGATTTTATAATTATTTTCTGATGTTTAAGTTCACTCTTTAAAACTTTGTCATCTTAGAAAGCTATCGAACTCATGAGAGAAGATACATATCCTTAATAATATCTTTCAGTAAAATATAATGGAAAAATATTAACTTGAGATTACCATACATAGAATATGTAGTAATTATATCCTATTTCTTTAAAACAGAATGAACATATAAATAACTGTGCATGTTTTACTACAGAATGTTTATTTCCTAAACATACATAAAACCTATTCAAAATAATCAAAAATAAGATGATCTATTCCTCCCTAAAAGTATACTAGACATGGGAGGAATCTTTAAAAATTTTTGAAACAAACTATTTGCATAATTTTCTCCTATCCTTCCAGCCTTCTCTTCTTTCCTAGATGAGTACATCAAGGATGAATATATTCATACTGAAACCATTGGGAAAGACAGAATTCCATCATACCTGGTTCCTGTTCCATAATCATATTGAGCTTAGAGACTAAATCTTTTAAATAACAGTTGCAGTCACTGTTTATGACAAACAGAAAGGTAAAGGGACACATTATTTTATTTAGTTTAAAGCCTTACTTATATGCAGGATTTCCATTCTCCTTGTATTGGGGTTTGAGCATCTTTAGACAAAGGGAGAGAGGACAAAGCAACTGCTTCAATTAAAGGCTTGTTGCATGATGATCATTGTCTTTAGGATAAAAAGTGTGTGAGAACTTCAAATAATTATTACTGATCACTGGTTGTGGCCATAGAAAAGAAGCGAGGAAATACTAAATGAATATATAGCTCAGTGAGTAAAGAGAAGTAAATCTTTTACCAAATATGTTATCACCAAGAAGCTCAGTGTCTTCCCTTGTATATGGTAGCATGGATAGAAAATGTATTCACCTTGATGGGAAAAGTCTCGATTATGGAAGAATCAGCCAATACATTCCCAGTGGAAGGTAAGCTCCATGAAGATGGGAGCCTCCTTTATCATATTCACAGTTGTATTCTCAGCACCTAGAATGGTGCCAGGCACTTAGTAGGTACTCAAATATTTGATGAGGAAATGAATGCTCACTCAGCTTTAGGGGAACATTAGCTTGTGTTAAAGATATGAATATAAATTTAAATAAGATAGGAAAAAATAGGAAGGTAGAGAGTGAGTATATATAAATAAATTGGCAAGTTCTATAAATTGGAACAATTCTGAATATTAGAGGAAGGGAATTAAATATATAGGAAAATTACTTTCATTGCTTTGAGACCAATTTTCTTAAATATACACAAACTACTTAAATAAACCAATGGCCTATTTAATACTGTTCTCCTACATATCACCTGTCACCAGGCCCTATAAAAAACCATGGGAGCAGACAGCATTTTTGAGGTGCATTCTGTTTGTTCTATACAGTTCTCTGCAGAAATGCTGAATTTGTTTAGCTTGATACATAGTTATTTGTGGCTTGTGTGTTTAAGTATCATAAAATTCATACCAACGGAAATCTGACCTTGTCAAATGCTTGCTTGATGCATGTACCTCCATTTCATTACTTTTGTATTCATTTAATTCTTTACGAATTGCTGCCTGAAATTTAAAAACAGGACATTGCTTTTTAGAAAATTCAAAAGTTCACAGAGGAAATTAGTATCATGTTTATGGATTAACAGCCATTCCTAATACTTGCTGACTCTGTGAGGGTACTTCAAAAAGTCTGTGGTAAAATGGAATTAAAAGATGATGTGAATCTTTCCATGAACTTTTTGAACTATCCTCATATATTATCTTGTAATATATAGCAAAAACAAGAAGTGATTTTTTTGTTTAGCATTTAGACTGTCTTACTCATTTTTTATTGTCCTACCAAGCTAGAATGCAGCTGGTATTCTGAGAGTCTCTAGTGCATTAATTTGCTGTGCTGTAGTAGGAAGACAGCCCCCATACCTAATAGATGGACGAAGGACATACTCAGGGCACTAACGAAGTAGGAGCACTGAAATAATGAGTAAAGTTCAGATTTTGGTGAACTTGGAATTTTGCAATCAGATAATCTAGAAAGTCATTCTAACTACATCAAAGTCTTAAGGGCTCTTCAGGGCATCTCCTCCAGCTTGCCCAGGCCCACTTTCATTATGAACTTCTTTCTCGGATAAGCCCTCAGAGGCCAGGTGAAACAAAAACATCAGACATGGCCTTTGTGACAAGCAAAGGCTTTGAGTTAAGAATTTCAGAGGCAAATTATTCCCATATTCAAATATGTCTGCTGCCAGACACTTTTCTTCTCCCCTATCACTGTGATCCTCCGAGCACTTCAACCAAGAGTTAGTCCAACTCTAACATGTCTGCATTTCTCCGAGTTGATTTATAAGCTCACATACCTACTCAGCATATAAAGAATGAACACTTAGCAAATTCAGCATATTCACTGGCTGAATGTATAATTTTTCTCTTCCTAAAGGCTTTAAGTGTTCTGAAAATCACTAGAGGCAAGAAGGTATGAAGGAAATACTATGTAGACAGATGGTCCTGGACTTAAATCCTGCCGGTTAATGGCATTTGACCATGGACAAGAACTTACCCTCTCTCTGCTCAGTAAATGTCCATTCCCTCTACTTCACCCCAGAGCCTCTGTGACCTACTGCCTCCTTGATCTCTCCCTGCCTCTACAACTGTTCAGTCCAGACTCCTCAGGAAGTTTCCAGAGATGTCTCAAACTGGACAAGTTCCAGGCAGAATCTAGAGCTTCCTCTATATACACTGTAGAGGCTTTCCTGAATCCCTCCTGGGTCAGTTCCATTCCTCTTTGTCCCCCCTGTAGCTCATTTTGTTTACACCTATCATCTGATCTCTCTCTTTTTTTTTTTTTTTTTTCCTTTTTGTCTTTTTTCATGACCGGCAATGGATCGCAACCCTCAGTGTCGCGCCCGTACCAGCCTGGGACCGGCAACGGGATCGCAACCCTCAGTGTTGCTCCCCGCACCTCGCTCAGCCAGTGAGCGGGAACCGGNTTCCTTTTTGTCTTTTTTCATGACCGGCAATGGATCGCAACCCTCAATGTCGCGCCCGTACCAGCCTGGGACCGGCAACGGGATCGCAACCCTCAGTGTTGCTCCCCGCACCTCGCTCAGCCAGTGAGCGGGAACCGGTCTGTATGTGGGATCCGAACCCTCGGCGGGAGCGCTGCCACGCTTCCCAAGCGGCGCACTGTAGCAGTGCGCCACCGGGCCGGCCCCCATCTGATCTCTTTTATTCCAGCTTTACCTACTTTTGATTCATCCCTCAGACTAAGGTTTCTCGACTCTCGACATCTGGGACCAAATAATCCTCTCTTCGGGGGCTGTTCTGTGCATGTTTAGCAGCTTCCCTGACCTCTACCCACTAGACATTGCAATAGCACCCCCAGTTGTGACAACCAAAAATGTCTCCAAACATTGCCACATATCCCTAGGGCCCAAACTGTCCCCTAGTTGGGGACACTGCTCAATTCTGACCCCGAATTATCTTTGTGAAACCAACATCTGGTCAAGGCATAGCTTTAATTTAAATAGCTAATGGCTCTCATTGTCTATGAATAAACTCCCTGGCATGACAGGTTTTGCCCTTATTACAAGATTCAACACCCCAACCAGCACAGACAGTTCTGTACCTTATCTGCTGCTGACAGTCTTGTCCAGGGTTTGTCTGCTCTCCTGTCATAGTCTTGCGCTTTTGCTACTTCTACATAGTCACTGAATCGTATCAGGATTTTTCTGTCTCTTAATTCATCAACGGTGGGTCTCTGATTAAGCTAAAATAAAAGATCATCACAGTTAGTTATCATATGCCAAGCTAGCTTTCTTGAAATACTCTGAACAAACACCACATTTCTATAAACAAAAATAAAACTCTGAAACCACGAAATACATCCTGAATACAAACAATCTCTAATGTGAAGGGCTTACATTAGTTACTCATAAATCACAATCCCCCTTCCTTGAATACAGGATTCAAGGATTCAATCCTTATAAGAAGGATTCACACCCCTGACAGTGCATAGCACAGGCACAAGGAATAGTTGATGAATTCACTTAGAATAAATTTTATGCAATTAGAGGCTTCTTTTCAAGTACCATTAGATAAGCTTAAAAGAAAATTACTGATAAAGTTACAATGCTAATTACTATGATAGTACTCACACATCAAGCTCAAGAAGGATATTCTGTTAACTATTAACAGCATTATTCTGTTAATAATGGAATGACAGAATTTCATTATTATTAAACGGAGCACAGTGGAGAGGGGAAAACAGCAGCTAGAATTTAGAAATAGGGCTTTAGGGGCCGGCCCATGGCTCACTCGGGAGAGTGTGGTGCTGATAACACCAAGGCCCAGGGTTTGGATCCCCTATAGGGATGGCCGGTTAGCTCACTGGGTGAGTGTGGTGCTGACGACACCAAGTCAAGGGCTAAGATCCCCTTACCGGTCATCCTTAAAAAAAAAAAAAAAAAGAAAAAGAAATAGGGCTTTAAAAGTAGCTTAAATTTTATAGAGTTGCTACATATATTGGCCATGGTAAATTTTAAATGAGTCACAAATAAAAATCCTTCAGTCTAGTAAAGTTTTCTACAATCAAGTAGCTTCTAGCCATACTGAAGGTGACCAAAAGCAATGGGTCTAAAAAGTAAAACAGTGATATCCAGGTATGCTTTTCTTAGACACTGTGTAAATTAAGAAAATGCCCAGTCAACTTCTGGCTAGAAATAAGTGTATATGTCATCAGGATTGTATTGCCTCTCCAAGTGCCACTGTGCTGGGGAAGGATGTCATCCAGAGGGGATGTCAGAGTCGCACGTTAGGGTGTAGCAAAAGGCACCGCTTTTTAGAGTAGTCTGGTGATTTATTTCATTGTTGCTGAACAAATATTCTGATTCAGCTGATGCCATATTGTCCAGGAACTCATTACTCACAATTACAGAGTGATGTCTTACATCACCCATCCCAACTGCTACAGAAGCAGCTTTTTTCTAGTCTATCTTTTTAAAATTATTATTCAGGAACTAAAACGCTAAAACTATAGTACCTTTCTTGTCAATCTTTGCTTGATTTCTCTTCTTTCTTCCTGCTCTGTCTGATCATTCCTTTCTGTGAAAGATTAAAGTAAAAAGAAAAAAACAGGTTGAGACTTTCTTGAGCAAGGAAGTGTATTCAAGATCTCCATATCTCTGGTAGCTGAAGGTGGGATATTAAGGACATCTTTTGCTACATCACAGTTTGTGTTTCTACTTTGCCAGTGGATGCTCAAGGCAGTCATGGTCTCATTGTTACATAGAAATGCTTGTACTAAAGGAAGCATTGCTATCGTTCCAGCCTTGATGTCCTCGGCCCTTCTCTATATTAGAAACAACCACAGATATCACAGCTCTTTATTTCCAGAAAGCAGATCTCTATGTCTGTCTCCCTCTTTCTCACTGATTATCTCTCTCTTCTCTACCCAAATATCTTTTCCTGTAAATTTACACCTAGGAACATAGATGGTACACAAAAATAGCTGTAGTAAAGTGAGTAAATAAATGTATAAATACATTTGAATATAAATAGCACTGTCACTGCCTTTTTGGTTTTTTCAATTTAATAGGTGTGCATACTTTTTAGCCAAACAACACAATATATGCAACACTCTCTTCAGATCCTGGGCAACATATGCTTGCCTGGAATTTAGATTTTGGGGGTATATTTCAAATCTGTACACGTCCATGAACCTGGCTGACTCTCCATTGCTAAAGCGCAAACACTTTTGTATGATAGTGACTTTGAAAGGAGCCCAAGTCCCTCACCGAAATTGGCTTTGCTTGGTGAATTGTGACTATTAACATTCAAGCTGTGTTCACATCTATACTTGAAAGCTAAAAATAGACCAGAGTGCTGAGATGTAGTATAAAATAAAATGTATGCCTTGCCCTGGGATACAAGATAATGGCTGTCCTATTTTTGGTGCTGTGTGTTACCAAATAATGCCACAGGTCCCTGACCTAAACAGAGCTCTAATTCCTAGGAAAGATATCTCAACCATCAGTACTCCTAGAAATACTGCCAAGTTTTGGAAAGAGAAATCCTGCTACTCGCAATTAACATAATTTCACATTATCTGCCTTTACTTAAAAGATGCATTTAAAACACTGTACACTTGAGAGATTGGATATATGTGTGTTTAATATATTAGCCATTGCACTTTTCAGTGATTTTTAAAAAGAGAGTCATTTTAGATTAGGTGTTTTAGAAAAAGAAATGAAACCCTGTTGTGTGCTTGGTTCTTTATCTAAATGATAAACCAAAAGAAACCATACTTGGAAGCTATAATCAGAAAGGTGATGATACAATTAGAAAAAAAATTGCCAAAGTATCACATATAAGTCCAGCCATGAAGGATTTTAGTGTGATATTAAATTAATTCTTCAGATTTCTTAAAATGAGTCCATGGACAAATCCCAAGTCTAGTCTCTATGTGAAAAAACTGAAGCAAAATCAAGTCT